ACCTTCACACCGCTGGAGCGACCAGTCGGTGAGGGCATGGGCAACTGGAGTCTGGGGGTCCAGCTCCTCAGCCTTCCTCTGGGACCCATCCCCTCCTGTCTCAGCCCCAGCCGGAGCAGCACAGGCCCCTGCCCGGCCCTGACGACCAGCGGGAGGACCCCCAGTGAGATGGGGTCCTCTCCAGGGCCCTAGTGTAAGGGGCTCAGGCCAGGCAGGAATCGGCCGGCGACTTTGAGGCCCTCTGGCTCTGCAATGGTGACCACCCGCAGACCCACCCAGGCCCCAGAGTGCCCTGCCCGGCCTTCCCAGATGGCACGGAGACCCTGGGGGTTGCAGGCCTGGCCTTACCTTCCTCACACCTCGTCCCTGAGCGACCCAGGTGGCAGCGACAGGTATACCCTCGGCCGTCGGGTCGGTTCACACAGGTGGCGTCGGGTCCACAGGCCTCTGGGGGGACGCAAGGGCCAGTCAGGAGGACATGGGGGTCTCAGGAGGGGCAGAGCCTTGGTGCTGAAGCCCTGCCCATTGCACCATGGGGCCTTGGCCAGTTAGAGCTGGGCTGCCTGGGAGGGCTGCCTCGCTGGCCGGGGAGGCTGGGCTCAGGGAGGCCTCAGGCTGCCAATGAGGCTGGGGGGAAACTGGGAGAGTGTGGGGAGAGCACGCATCTGTGGTCTAAGGTGTCCTTGAAAGGTGGTACCTGGGTAACAGCGTGGGGGTGACGAGTACTTGAGGGGCAGGGAACGGGGAGTGGGGAGGTGAGTCCTGGGCGGCAGAGAGGGGGACCAGAGCCTGGGGGCAGTGGCTGCAGTCGGTGAGGGACGGAGCATGGACGCACTGCTGCAGGTGGGGTGGAAGGAGGGAGGTGGGCAGAGGCAGGCGCGGCACCGGGCACACACCTGGGTGGCAGTGCAGGGCCTGCGAGTGCTCGCAGCGGCTCCCGGTGAAGCCAGCAGGGCACACACACACGTAGCTGCTGCTCTCTGAGTCGTGGCACTGGCCCCCGTTCTGCAAGGCCATTCCCAGACGTCAGACCAAGGACACGCCGGCCCTCCCCGCCCGGCCCCCGGGGGCAGCCAGGGCTGAGGGCAGGGGCTGGGTGGGCAGGAGGCGTGTGTGGAGGGGCGAGGTCACCTGGCAGGGCCGGTCCCGGCAGGTGGGGCAGTGGGCGATGCCGTGCGCCGTGAGGTTGAGGTCATGGAAGACGATCTCCTCACCCTGGATGCGCAGCTCCCGGACACAGCCTAGGGCAGGCAGTGTGAGCATGGGAGGAGTGCTGGGAGGCCTGCCCAGCTGCTGCCCAGCCCCAGCCCAGCCCCAGCCTGCAGGGCCTCCCAGACTCCCATGGGCTCTGCCAACAGCCAGGTGAGCCTGGGCCCTGGTGGGGGACAAGAGGGACGCACCTATGAAGCCGCTGCTCAGCCCCGCCTTGGGGATGGCCCCGTAGTCGGGGTAGCCGCCTAGGTAGAGCTCCTCGTTCAGGTCCAGGCCCTGGAACTTGCCCTGGGGGTGGGAGGCAGGAGTGGCAGACACAGGCTGGCAGAGAAGGGACGGGGCTGGGAGCAGGGCACGGATGGGTCAGGGCTCACCTGGGAAGTCCCGTTGACGGGAGCCAGGTTGCCCACGATCAGGGAGCCCTGGGTGAGGCTGCGCAGCAGGGTCACAGTGTGGAACTGGCCCAGGGCCAGAGGCGTGGGATGGCGGATGGTGGCCATGCCGGAGCCCGCATCAAACCTGCTCCGTGGGGCCCAAGAGAGTGGGCATGGGGTTTGTAAGAAGGTGAGGGCACTCAGACTGGGCAAAGGGACCCGGGGAGACACTTCACAACGTCCTGCACCCCTGGCTCTGTCCCCGCCCCCGTTCTCCCACCCTGTCACCATGCCCAGCCTGCCCCATGCCTGGCCCTTCCCCAGGTCTCTTCTTGCCACATCCTCTCCCTAGGAGCATGCCCAGAGCAGTCCAGGGCCCTGTGGCTGGGCACCGGCTTCATGGCCCTCAGGTCTCTCTGAGATGACCTTGTTTCTTTCTCTGTCAATGGCTGGTCTTCCCCGACTAGTCCCCAGGGCCAGAGCTCAGCCTGCTGTGCTGAGGCCCGTCACTGCCTGGCAGTGGTGGGAGAATGACTATGAAAGAAGGCGTGAACCCTGGCCTGCAGCACCCCAAGTCCAGGCGGGCTCCTTCCCACCCTGGCCTGCACGCTGGGCCTGCTCGCGCACTGGGTGGTCGCCGAGGGGAGGACCCCATCTCCTCCCTCCAGAAGCTGCTCAGGACGGCTCAGCCCAGAGTAGCCTGTGCCTGATCAGAGCC